GAAAAAAAAAAAAAAAAGAAGAAAAGCCTAAAACAGAACGCTATGCCCACAATTGCCCACTGCTGATCCAGAGGAAGGCAACAAAACCCCCTATAAAGCATGGTTCAATTTGCTCCAATAGGGGAAAAAAAAATCCTTCCTGATCCTATAAGCCAATCGGATATTCCCTGGATAAACAATCTCTGGTACTTAATATACCTATAAGAACTCAATATCCAGTAATGTTCTGTACATTTAGGAATACATCCAGATTTTTTTTTAAACAATTAATTGAGCTTCCTCCAGACGCAGAGTGCCCCCTTGTCCGTTGCAGTGACCTTAAAGTGAATAATTTGGCACCAAGCTCACTCTATGGACCATTTATGTATTTATACATGGTGATCATGTTCCCCCTTAATCACCTCTTCTCCAGAGAGAACAAATTCAGGTCAGTTAATCTTTCCTCATAGCTGAGCTCCTCCATGCCTCTTATGAGTTTGGTCACCCTTCGCTGCAGTTTCTCCATTTCCACAACATCCTTTTTGTGACCAGGTGCCCAAAACGGAACTACATATTCCAGATGAGGTCTTACTAATGAGTCTGCCCCACAAACACAGCAAGGCAAGTCACTCCCCTTTTCCCCTTTCCTCACTCCTTCCTCTTCCTTCTCCAAGCTAGTAGATGTACAACTGCTGGAGATTGCTCTGTCCTTTGTGATCTTGTATTGGACAGGAAATTCAGTGAAGCAGAACTAAGAGAGTTGGAGTCGGCTGTTTGTGCCTAATGACTGTAAGTGGTTGGGCAAAAATGTAAAGAAATACTTTGCTAGGCAATTGATTTGTTTGTTCTGTAATGATTATTAAACATAAATGCATGAGAGTGTAATAATACTTTAAGGTCAAAATGTTTTCAATATATGGAAATGTATTATAAACCTTGTTTCTATGCATAATATGAAATTAAGTAGAGCATGTATATAAGGAAATGTCAACCTCCAAAAACATGTCTTTGGAGTTTAAATGTAATGAAATCACTTAACTTAAAGGACAACTAAACAAAAAATGTAATAATTTGCACCTCAACAGTCCTAGGATGTAGTGTAGTGGCTGCATTAGCTTTCACTTTTCAAGCTTGGGACATTTTAAAGCAGGTACAAAAAATAACGGTTGTTCCAGTTAGATATGCTGCGTCACTTCCTGTGAGCTGAACAATTTTATTTCTTCTCCAATGGTATCGTCTTTCTTCTGTAAACTACTAATTTCCCCTTCCCCATGTAATGGATTGGAACAAAGGCAAACATGTTTAAAATCCAGCTTGAATGGCAACCTTCTTCCATAGATACAGTAGAGTCAGTGAGTGTAGCCACTGAAAATAAGTGTATTATTTGCAAAACTAGGATAAAATAAAAGAAAAAAGCTACCACATCTAAGGACTGGTAAGCTGCAATATATAAAATGTTTAGTTTTTGGGCTTAGATACATTTACATTTTGTATTTAAAATGAATCTCTCATGAAGCCATGCAGTCAGCTTATAACATTCCACCAACTAAGTGCAGGGTGACCAGATTTCTGTACATAACCAAGCTACAATATTGAGAGGTTCCTAGGTTTTCAGCAATGTATCTTGTCTATACAGGAGCAATCCTGCTAGAAAGACATGTGGCTTTACATTACACCCTTACCTGGCCTTCCAAACAAAATAAAAGCTCAGACCAGCTTGAATATGTGCTAGGTCCACCTACAGGTTGCTTGGTGTGGGTTGTGAAGTTGGCTGGCATTGCTACATACGGCTTATGGTACACGACCTGCTTTTGTCTGATGAATGTATTCCATCTTTTAGTTTGGTGAATAAGTTATCTCATTTGTCTTTAGACCCCTTGATGCATGATCCAACATTTTATATGGTTTATTTTAATAAGTTTTGCTCTTGCTATCAGAGTATATTTTTAGTGAGTTTTTTTTCCTTTAAGTTCATTCTTTAATCCACTACTAATGCGCCACAAAAATAAAAAATAATTATTTAAAAGGTCACAAAGACCCTTTTGTAATTGTTCTTACTGGAAGAAAATAGAGGCAATGTGCCAATATGTCTGGTCACAGACAGAATGAAGTTTTCTAAACAAGTAATCAATTACATGCTCCAGACAAACAAAATTTGTGGTTTACAGGACAAGGTTTGGTTGTTGTAGGACATAAGCAAGCAGCATTATAATGAGCTTGAAAATATATAAAAGTGACTCCGTGGGGCTAAACACGGCTGCAGCCAGCACTCCATGATGTGATAACCCACTACTTTCACACAACCATAATATTTATATGGCTTACCAGCAGGCAAATGGAAGGTGTGTAGTGTTCTACGGGATTATTTTACATAGAGTACAAATACACCAATTATACACAGATTTGGCAAATTTTTAGATTGTAAGCTCTCACGGGCAGGGCCATCCTGGCTTAATTTGTATTGCATCTGTAATGTCTTCCTTATATTGTAAAGCACTGTGCAAATTGTTGGCACTATATAACACCTGTATAATAATAATATTGATGTCTACTAATTTTCATTTGTCAAATGACCTTGTGAAACAATGCCAGTGTTTTACACCACCACTTATTGTTTTCAAATAAAAATGAATTGCATTATTATTAAGAATTAGAGCTAACCTGTCAAACAATTGTAAGTAAGTCCAGGGTGATTCACACACTTCTGCCAGACACCATAGCCAGGAGGGTAACACCACCACTCTCAGAGTTAGGGAATCCTGTGGTGTCACTTCCTCACCCGCAGCCCGGTGATTGGACTTAAAGTGTATCACAAGACAACATTTTTTTTCTATTTTGGATAAATAAGGGAAGGATTAGAACCTTTGTTGAGTTTTCACTGCTTTTCAGGGCTCCACTAGGAAGATTTACCTTCACTTTCTGTCTCAGTGACATCTGTTTTATCAGGCAGGAAGTGAGGAAAAAAAATGTGCTGTTGGAGAGTTCCTCTCACTTCCTGTCTGGTAATACATTGTTAGCAGGTCAGGGTGTGAGAGTAAATCTCTATAATGTAACTTTGGATATTCTGTTTTCTACATTTTATCAAAAACATAGAAAACAAGTTTTGGTTGGACATACACTTTCTCGCTGTGCTGCTATTGGAGCCTTTAAAGTAAACAGAAAGAGCTAAAAAAAAACAGAAGCTTTAATAGCACTTTAAGTTATTAGCTCTCACACTGCTCTCCCCTCCTCTCAGCATGTTCTTTTTTCCCATATGTGCACCAGAGCCTGTTTGGCTCAAAGTCCTTCCCCTCCCTTTCCCAGTCCGGGTGCTGCTGTGAACAGGATAACTCAGGTTGATATCAAGACAGATCCAGGTACTTATGCTAGCTGTAAGCAAACTGGATTCAGTTTTAAGTAAAAGTCCTGCCTAAGAGAAGGTCCTTCTGGTCTGCTAGGTTTGACATCTAGTAAAAGTAAATTTGAAAGTTCACACCTTAAAGCGTTTCATGCTGATAAAGGTAGTAGAGGACAACCTGTTGTTAAAGAGGGGAGGATTCTGATATAAAAGGTGGGCTTTGATGTAAAGGGGGTGGGGGGCACTGATGTGAAGAGGGCTCCTGATCTGAAGGGGGCTCTTGATATGAAGGTGAGCTTTTGATGTGAAGAGGGACTTGTGGAAAAAAAGGGGAACTCTGATGTGAAAGGAGGGGGCTCCTCATGTAAAGGGGGGGTAAAGGCGGGTACAGCTGGCTAGGTAGGCAGAGCCAACTGTCATTCACGCTGTCATCTGTCCTGGCTGCGTCGGTTTCAGTATATCGCGAGCTGTAGCTTGCGATATACTGAGCTTTGGGTCACGGGAGGATGCTAGTATATGTCCTCCCGTGACCCTTAAGAGAACTATGGGGAAAAACACTTACCCCATAGTTCTCTTAACTTTTAAAAAATATAACAGGTTCATTTTAAACCTAGAAAACGGATACAGAAAAGGCTTTGAAAAGTTTACTATGCAAAAAAGAATTTGATGGAAAGTCTCTATTAAGGTTTTAACAAAACTTCCTGATAATACGAAATGCATCATGTCTCCTGTACAGATAGAGTGCAGAGAGCAATACAGTATAATGAGAAAAATTATGTTTCCACAGTGGGGTGTGCAAAGACCCAAAGGGAAAAGGAAAAGGGGGCTTTTAAGAAACAAGTCCAGACCTCTTGTATAAAAATTTTAGAAATACATTTATTCAATAACTCGTAGTATACATTTATTTCAGATAAAAAACAAAACAAAAACAAAATTCATAATCATCAATAAAAATACATATACATATGCAGGTTCACCAGTTGGTGACGATACCGTGCAGTTACGATGTATGTTGTTGTTTGTTATCAGAATGGTATAAGCACTCCTATAGGTCCCTACATGTTTCGCCCCGAAAGGGCTTCTTCAGGGGAGAAAGACAATTCTATGGTAGATATGTGTCATATGTATATCTTCACCGTCAGTTAGTCAAGGAGGCAGAGATGTAGTAAAACGCAACTGCTTCAAATTCAAATAGAGGATTGGTTTTGTCAAACATGAAACGCCATAGGCAACGTAAGATGGAGGGATCGCGTCGGAAACAGCTAGGTCAATAGATGTCCGGGGAATGAACAGCAATACTACACACGGCATAAGCGGAAATCCATAGACCTCTAAGTCTACTGGGCCGGCTGCCTGTGCTTCCTGAGGATTACAGGGTGCTGTTTCTTTGGAAACATAATTTTTCTTTCTCGCATTTGAAACCCGGGGTGTGAAACTTCCAGTTCCTCTATATACTCTCCGCAACACATGTCTACTAATGTTATCCTCTAATACAGTATAATGAGACTTTCCAAACTAAATGCTGTGTCAGAGCCCTCCAGAAAAGTTCTATTTAACACCAATTACACATTCCAAAGAAAAAGCAGAAGGTGCAAAACCTGCTACAGCCTACCACGCAAAGAAACATATGGTTTTAGTTCATTCCATTAAGTGTGAGTATTATTTGTTTCAGATCAGCACTTACCTTAATGAGAAAGTCTCCCAGTTCCAGCTCGCTGAGGATCTCATACATAATCTTCAGACACTCAGCATCAGGGATCATGGGGTCGTAGTGTCCAGCAATGTCAAAGTCCTGCCATGAATATGCATAGTGGGATCAATAGAGACAGGCCGAGCCATGCAAGATAGATGGGGTCACATTTAAAAACTCATACATTTTAAAGAGCATGGCAAACATTGTTTTCATAATGCCAGCATGTTGTAAGTGATATTATTTATAAAAGCTGAAGAGTGTTTCCCAGTAACATAAAGAAAATATGTAAGAATATGTCAAGTTTTCCAGCATTTTCAAATCATTAGTTTTAAGATAAACTCTTCTTTGGAAATGCTGTTGCTAGGCCTCCCACTTATCTTCCAAAATAATGTATATAATTAAAATGGAATGGATTTTATTTAAAAATGTCCTTATCATGTTGATGAGGGGGGCGGGAAGGAGAAACCAGGGAAGGTCAAATATAAGCAGATTACATTTCAGCTTTAAAGTAAAACAATCACAAACCTGGGCAATGCAGAATCAAAATATGATGGAAAAAATCCATAAGCAAAGTACCTTTCAGTGAAAACATGTCAAAACCTTTAGTAGATCCAGAGTTTAGGCTGCTGGAATTTTATACAAATCCACACTTTTCCTGTAAAAGATAGACCTTGGCCTACCTCTCAATCCTCCTTTTTGGTTTTTAAGTGTGATTGGCAGCTTCACTGACCAATTGGGAAGCTCAGGAGGTAAAAGTAGGTTGGCCCATGTTAGAAATCTAAATGAAAATTTTACATTGGGATATAACTTCAGGTGCATATATTTCTGTATGTATACTGATCATTCTAACACTTTGTCATTGAAGATAACGTCTGGATTTTCCATTATATGCTCACTTTGAATATCCCAGGTTTCTAACTGGCCTCTAAGTGGATCCAAACTCAAAAAAATATTTGCTGTTATAGGAAACATTTAGAAATGTTAAATATGCCTGAGCTGTACCCTGAAAATGTATCTTTTGCTTTAACCACTTGCTGACCGGGGTGTTTATACCCCCTTCCTGTCCAGGCCATTTTTCCGTATTCAGCGCTGCGGTACTTTGACTGACATTTATTCCGTCATGCAACGCTGTACAGAAATGAATTTTATACAATTTTTTGGGCACAGACAGAGCTTTCTTTTGGTGGTATTTAATCACCACTGGGGGTTTTATTTTTTACTATATAATGAGAAAAGTACCGAAAATTTCGAGAAAAAATAACTGTTTTCCCTACGTTATGTTATAAAACAATTATTATTATTACCCACATTTTGGGCAAAATATAAAAGACGGGTCACGTCGGGTAAATAGACACCAAACATGTTAAGCTTTAAAATTGCGTGTGCCCGCGAACTTGCAAAAACTACCATACCCAAAATTGGCCATAGGCGACGCTTTAAAATCTTTTACCGCTCATCAGTTTAGTGTTATCAGTGATTGATGGCCCTAGAATTATTGCTCTCACTGCGATGGTCGCGGAGATATGTAACATGCGCGGCATAATGGATGCAATAGTCGTTTCCGCACGTAGGCGCACTCAACGCATGTTTGCACGTGTATGTGGGGGGCGGGGGACTTAAAACATTTTACAAACTTTTTTATTACCTTTATATGTGACTTTTAATTTTTTTTAACTTATTATTTTAAACCTTTTTTTTTCACTTACCGTAACTTTATTGCTATCACATAGGGGACTAACAATCCCCCTTTGTGATAGCCAATTTTGAGTGACAAGTCCTATTTATGGAGACATCAGGGGTCTTTAAGACCCCTAATGTCACCTAGGTACCCCCAGAGAAGCTGATGAAGCAAACACCTGCTTCACCAGCTTCTCTCCGGTTTCTGTACCGGAGAGTGACAGAGGAATGCGGAAGTGATGTAATACACATCACTTCCTGCATTCCGAAGAGGAGGGGGAGATCAAGCGGAGATCTTGTACTGATCTCCGTTTGATCTCCGACCGCAGAGCTGCTGTGCTGGTTCCGGGCTCGCACCGGGCACAGCAGAGCGGTGGGCACGAGCGGGGCGGGATGGGATGTTTAAAAACGCCCACCCGCATTCAAGAAGCCGCCGTCCGGCCGTTTAATTACAACGGCCGGACAGCAGGTGGTTAAACTCTTCCTGAAAAATAGCAGTGCACTTTCTGGTACGCGAGGGTGACTAAGCACTCCTTTGCCTTCAGCCTCATGGTTGTCAATCTGCAGTGTGATATCTAGAACACTGCTGTTTCTGACTGCTAGTTGATGAGATTTGGAGTGGGATTTAGGGATGTCATTACTGTGCTGCTCACTGTTTTTGTTGCTGGAAGTTCTGACATTGGGAAGCCAAGCCTTGCCTCTACTAAGGTGGCCATCGTTACACAGAGAATAGTGCATGGTAATTCAGTAATGGGAAAGATCAGCTGCATGAGAACACAGCAATGCTGGTGACTGGTTATTTGACCTCTGCCTGCCTTTTTTGGGCACACCTTGTACATTTAAGTTCCTCTTTAAGGAACAACATACCTCATGACATTCCAATCTTTAGGTCTTGAGGAAAGCGGGTGTGGTTTGCCCAAATTATGCCAAACTGGGAGCAGGGTTTGGCAGATGAGCAAAGGGTCAGTTCATGCCAAACTTAACTGGTTTAATTCTGATGCATCTCAGATAAATTATATTTCAAAGTGTATTATAACTTTTGGGAATTCTGTTGGTGAGATCTCGGTGCTTGAGTTTCTGGGTCTCCACAACTACTGCTGCTATTATGAGAGGATTACACTCTCTCTGTTCGATTTTTAAATAATTTTATATTATGAAGAATGCAACAGAAGATGCTAAAACACATATGGGTGGGTAAGATACCTAAAGCACCAAAATAGTCAGGCGCTATTGCAATCAGTATCCAAGGCCTATAAGAATCCAAAGGCTGACTTGGCAGCCTAGGCTCCCCTAGTCTGCCAACTAGTGATATTTCAATTATAACTAAAATCCAAAAGCGATATTAGTTATAACTTTAAAGTGGAACTAGACCAACCAATCCATTGGCTAAGATGGCATTTTAATTGTCTGTAAAGAATAAGAGGTTGTAGTTCCATGTTAACCAAAGACAGTGGGCCTAGTTTATAAAACCTTTTAAGGAGATAACTCTCAAGCAACTGACAGCAACCAATCAGATTCAATGATTTACTTGAAAATGACAGTTGAACAGCAAAAGCTTGTCCCTTTACAACTGCTATTTGGTTATGGAACACTTCATCAGTAAAAGGGTCATATAAGTGCCAATGTTGGGTTACCCCTTGATGTAGAAATCACAATGTAAACCAGGCTGTGTGACAGAGTAGCTTAAGTTTATGTACTTTGTACAGTGTGTGAATGCTAAGCAGCAAAAAATTTAATCCACAGAGTTTTTAAAATTGCAATCCATTTTAGAAAATATAATATACTGTTACTTACACACTGATAAAATTCCCTGTAGCGCCCCAGGGCTGGATTGTCACGTCTGTAAACCTTGGCAATCTGGTAGCGTTTGATACGGTTAATTTTATTCATAGCCAGATAGCGAGTAAAAGGCACCTTTTTATATCGAGTTAAGAAAACAGTTTACATTCAGTCTTGCAGCTGCGTCTTTATAAAATAATTAATGGATCATAATTTACTATCATCAATTAGCCATCCAATTGGTATGTCCATATGTACAGAGCAGGGCGGTCACCCTTCAGCAAGTTTAATACAGGCAGACAGCACATGATTTCACTTACATTGACCTAAATTATGCTAAGGAATATGCCGTGCTGCTTTTCTGTGTAGAACTGTGGTAGATGTCAGCATAATATAAAAGAATAACAATAAAATATAACTATGGGCAAAATTAAAAATGAGATATATGCTGCAGTCAGTTGCTAGCATTAAAACAACTTTGTCGCCAATATAAATATCAAAATAAACTTGTTACCTGAAAAGAAGAGTGCAAATATTTAACTTTCCTGCTGCTTTCACCACCGGACCCTACTTCGTTGCTGAACAATCATCCCCACAAAGTCTGCTGGGAAACCTACACTTCAGGGAGTGCCGATTTGGTGTGTAACTGGTTTCAACGCCAACCTCCACATCATTATTTTGTCCTGTGGTAGCTGTATTAGGTGGTGATAAAAGGAACCAGTGAGCACTGCCGGTGAAACAGGAGAACTTCGGGGGAACAATTTCTCAGCAGGGATTGTTGGCTTCAGCTTTATTTATAATCTTCTTCATGTTTATTCTGATATTTTAGTTTGCTACAGGGTCACTGTAATGCTAGATACAGACTGAAGCATAGTTAGACTATCATAGGTAGTCTTTAAAAGGCATACATTCATGCAAAGGAATGGTATGTTTTACATATTAACGTGTAAGTATTCTCCAAAGTAGTATCTCAGTTGGTTTACTTGTTTTCGATTACCAAGGGGCTGATTTATAAATGATCTGCCCAGGTATACCGCATTAGTGCACCTAGATGTGGCTGAGAAGCATAGGAAATTCCTATGCTTCTCAGTGCCATCTAGTGGCATTAGTGCCGTGCAAAGGACATCTGAGCAAAATGTATTAAATCGATCTCTAATTGTACCTTCTTACGTATACCTAAAATTCTGCCCCCAAACCCCCCAAAATGCTCTGTAAATATAATTTACTACTTTAAATGGTTATTTGAAGCTGTTTTTACTGCCTAGCCTGCCCAAGGCCAGGACAATGATTCAGACCTTTGGCCCTCCCAAAGCACCTTAGCAAATGATATGTTCTAGGAGACACGATAAAGTACAATGACCTTTCATATGCGTCAGATTACAAAAGATCACATGGAGCCCCAAAAGACTAAACCACAGTTACGGCCAGGCAGTGTAAACTCCATCATATCCACATTTACAGCAATGAAATATATCTACAAAGCTTCTTTTTTTTTTTTTTTTTACAGTGGGGAACTATTAGAACCGCGGTCACTCAGGAGTTTTCAATGCTGTAATAGTGATAATTGACAATTATTCCATCATCCAACACTCAACACAAATTAATTGTGTATCTTTCTTTTGAGACAGATAGAGCTTTTGATG